TTTGGCACGCAAGCTAATGGTTGATACATTTTGTTTTTTTGTTGGTTTAACAAATTCACTCTTCTTATTTTTTTTAAATGATCATTAAAAAAAAAAAAAAAAAAATTTATTGTTAAGAAGAGAACTTTGAATGCATTTATAAATATTTACAGACAAATTTAAAATAGCAATTCAATATTTTTCTAAGTGTCTGTACAAAGTAATTGCAAACAGAGACCGTACAAATGTTTGATGGACTTTATGTATTTCAGTTTGTTTCCCCTTAAGTTTCCCTCAAAGCGGATTCCCTCGAACAACTTATACAAACTTATATAAAAGCTCATTGACAATTGCTCTCTGCCCGATCGACAATGTGAGCAAGCCAGAAAATTGTTACAGAGAGCGTGACTAAGTCTGATTGGGATCTGCCATACCATTCAAACAAGCTATTCGAACCCTGTTTTCCTTCGAATGGAATCAATGGGGTATGCGCGCCAACTGTGGCAGTGACTAATGCCCCGATGACAAGTTCTCATGCTTCTACCTTTGCCGGCTTCCACTTTTCACTTCGTTCTAAGTTGACGGATGCAGCGGAAATTGGGGCAAAGGAAACAAGACGGAAACGGAAGTAAAATACCAACGGGCGTGACACTTTTAAGCCTTTTAACTGAATCATTTAATTGAAAAGTATCTGTATGGGATGGGTGAATGGGTGGGTCCCAGAAACTTACTTAAAAATTCCTTGAATAACGAGAAAGGGGTAAAAATACGAGTGAAATTAATAATTTAAATGGTTCGGCTTCAGATATTGTTTAAAGCTAAAGAAGTTTAACTAGAATTTAATCCATGTATTATGTCAAGCGTATTTACATTTTATTATCGTTTGGTGAGCTTTTAATAGTGATTTTCTGCATAAAACAAATATGTAATACAAACAATGCTATTATTATACCCATGAGTGTGTGATTATTATTACCTATCAAAAAATAAAAGAAATTTTTCTGATAGTCGTTCTCTATCGTTTTTATAATTATCTTGGCTTGTATGTTATTTTGTTATATTTTCTTTTTCAATTTTATTCATTGCATTTAGGCTTAAAATTAGAATAAATTAATTATACATTTGGTATAATTTTGTAGAGCACTCGCAATTCTTCGTAAAATGTTAGCTAGATTGTTTGTTTGATTTTTGTGTATCCATTTCCAGCTGTGCCCAGCGGAGACCGGCGAAGGCAAGCGCATTTCATATTTAATTAAAATCGAGGCACCCACAGACACCCCCAAAAGCAAACAGACACACATGCAAACACACAGGCATGCATAATACAACGACCATTTAAATAAGGGGTATGGGGTATGAAAGAGGGGGCATGGCTGGGGGCGGGGGGCACAGCGGCGACGTCGTGTGGAAAATGGTAATAACAAAATGCTGGGCAAATATTTAAAATCTTCCGAATGCCGCATTAATGAGCTTTTATTTTGACGGCGATAAGCGTAGCACACAGAATAAGTTGGGAACAAATTATGGCTAATTCGCGATTGCTTTATGCTAAACAGATGCGGTCGCAAAAAAAAAGAGGAATATATTTTGCTAGCGGAAAATCAAAACAGTGAAGGGGCGGCCCGGCCACGCCCCCGCATTCCGCCCACATCTGCTGGCCAGACAGGCGTGGCAATTAAAGCGCGTGACGAAAACATTCCGTTGCCACGCCCATGAATATTTCAACAGCCAACTAAGGATCCTCCATCATATGCAGAGAGAAAAACAATCAAAAAATTAATATCACTTGTATTTTGAAATATAAACAAATATTTTCAAAATCGGTTTTTTTTATATATTATCACAATAATTTATTATTTTAAGTCCTGCCCCCTCAAATCTCTTGGTTTATATTCAACTAAAGTAATTCTGTATTTGAACTAAAAATATTATAAATAGTCTTAGCATTGTTGACCAAAAATTTTAACTTTTTAGTTTATTTTTCAAATTAATTACTTTTTATATTTATTTAAAATGTGAGTTTTCTTTTTAAACATCTTTGCAGTCCCTTCAATTGAAATTAAATTTAAAATGCAGAATGCAAAATTCATGAATTATTTTCTTTTACATTGCTAGCTGTTCGAATTGGTTAATAATTCTATTTCTATACACTTCTCCGTTCACTTTTCCTGTTTCCAGCTGCTCTTCGCTGCTCTCCGCATATTTCTTATTGTTTTCGTTGCCATAATTCATTTCACGCTTTTCTCGAGGCGGTGAAAAACGCGGGGAAGCCCTAGAAAAATGCGAGGAATGCGAAAAAAACATTGTGTAAAAGCCAGGATCGAGTGTGTGCATTTTCCGGGCAGAGGTGAGTGTTTCGGGTAGCGTTGGTCGGTCTTATTAAGTGGTTCGAGTGTTGATTTATAGCACTTCACCCGCCCGTCACGACGGTTATCCTGACAGTTTCCACTGAAGGACAGGACAGGACTCGCACTCTGTCCTTCGTCCTTGGCGGCCGGCGCACCCAGCACATTCGGTTAAAGTTTTAAGCGCTCACTTTGCATCTAAAGTGTGTTTGGCAGATAAATGCTTTGCACGCGCATTACTCATACGCCAGGTTGGCGCAGAACCTTTTCCACGGCCAACAAAAACACACCGCACTTTACCTAATTGAACCAGGCACAAAAGGTAACGGGGTTGCTGATTAATTTAGCTGGGAATAACGTTTAATGTTTCAAATTTACGATAAAGTTACGCATTTTGGGCATAATTTACCCATTCCTGTTCAGCTTTAAGGGTTTCATTAAATTTCTGCTAAGACTGAAACCATAAATAATTCCTCTCACTACACATATGTAGTGGGGAAAAGTAAATATATTTCCCCGCTGAAATAGTCTGGCATAAGCTGTACTATATATTGTTTTTAAATTATTGCCCGTAATTCTCACGATTCAGTTTATAACTCTTTGTCTTTCTGTCTAAATCGTTTTCTTTTTTGGCAAGTAGCAAAATTGACTTGAACTACATTTTCTCAATTCGGATTTTCCCCCAAATGTTTACACTAGCACTCAGAATATCTTTCGCGGCCCATTCGCAGAACAAAGAACGAAACGGATGCAATAAAAAGGTGCCAAGTCTGGAGCAAAATTAATATATATTTTCACGGACCCATGGATTGGCTGTAAAATTGACTTACACAAGTCTGGCGATCGCTATCCGGTTTGGTTTGACCCAAATAAGATTATCCCTACCGTGGAAATGGCATGGGTGAAGTGCAACAGCTATAAACTTTTTATAGTTTCAATAAATATAAAATTTGAGAGCCATTAAAATCGGGCGTTCTGCATTTGTTTGTTGCCGTTCTTTTGCAATTCATTGTTTTTGTTCGCTCTCAGGTTTTATGTCTTTCGAATAATGTGTGCGTGCAGGATTTGGGATGTGTGTACATACGATTTGCTGCAGCAAATATAAACAAGTTTTTATGTTTATATAGAGCTCAGAGACAGCATCAGCGAAACAAAATTACGCATACGCCATGAATAAAATGAAACATTTTGGAGATGCTGCTAATTCACTTTCTTGAGCTTGGATAATTTCAAAGCAAAATAGTTTTTCACTTATCTAACTGTTTGCTAAGCTCCTTACTAAATCGATTATGAAACTAAGAAGAAAATCTGTTTTGCCCAACAAGAATTTGTCTCACTTTTGCTGATTACATGACCTGCACATTCGACTGCCCTTTTTGACTTGGCTATTATTTGCTTGTATTGATTGCCTTACTGGCGCAAAAGTAAACAAAATTGAAATGAAATTGATTTCTGGGTGCTTTACTTTATTGATGCCGAAAGGCAAAGTACTTTTATGCTTTAAAAAAAGTATATTTCGATCAATAAGATTTTTTTCCCATCGTGTGAGCAAGTTTTTTATTCGTCTAAATAACGATTTTATTACTCAAATCAATCTATTTTTTTAAGGTATCAATGCAGTTGAATTAGGGCTTTCTCTTTGTTAGAAATAATCTTTAATCTTTATTCAAAACATTTTGCTTTTATCTTTTGTTTAGATTTGTTTTTCATTTTAGCTTGATTACTTCACGTTAACTCTATTTCTGATTGACAGTAGTTTCTGATAGATACCATTTAATTATTCGAAGTGGTTATCTTTAATTAAAAGTCATGTATTTATTTGTACAACTATCTATATTTATTTTTAAAATTAGTTGACCCTAAACTTTTTTGTACATTTGCTTTGTAGTCTGGGTAGCTTGTCTGATTTTGGTCCTAAATGAACAGGCGATTAATTACTTGCCAATTTACCCTCATCAACTTCTTGCGCACTCCTCTAATTAGAAGGGAGCGAACGCTCAGCATGACGCCAACAGCCCACTCCTATAGGACACACATATCATTTAATAGGGCACACATGGTGCCGGGGAAACTCACGACGTTTTTGGGGCATTATCAGACGTTAAACTCTTTATGAAAATGTTAAATAATGAACTTGGCGAATCGTAAAGAATTCTACATGCCCATACAAATAAATGCTTATGTTCGCCTCAGTTTGGGTAATTTTTTAATAAGTATTCAACGCTTCTTCGGGCACATTTTCCAAGAATTTACCTGAGTGTGTGCGTGCGTCGTAAACATTTTTATTGGCCATTTTCGACATACCGAGCAGTGAAAGGATATGCCGGGCGAGGTCTGAAAATGCTTTATGATGGCAGAAAGACAGAGGGCAAAAAAACGAAAAGAAAATAAAACATTTTCATTTCCATTTTCGTTCTTGCTTTCGTTTTTGTTGTTTGTCATGGCCCATTCAATTATCTTAATATTACGCATACGCCGCATGGGCTGCCAAGATGTTTCGATGGGGGAGAAGCAAAGTGGATTGCGGATGGTGGTGAACCATTGCCCAAAAGGGGAGAAACTAATTACCGTCGGCCAAATAAATAATGCTCTCGAGTATTTCGGCCTGAATGCGTTTATTGATCGCGAATTGCGGCCTAAATGAGCCTGGGATTGCGGTTGGTTCGTGGCTCTTACCTCCTCTCGAATTTCCTGCGTGGACCAGATATCCTTCATTCCATCGTTGTTAATCTCAACTGATTGATTCACAATTTATTTTCACTTTTTCATTTGGTTTTTTCACTTTGGTTTGCGCTTGGCCTGCTCTAAATTCAATAAACAAAATCGTCGTGGGTCTAGAAAGGACACTCGGTGTTTGTGCTTGGCTTTGACTTTAGTTGGGCATCTCTCATTTACATTTTATGCATATTTTAATTGCTCCCAGAAACAGAAAGACGTGGAAACGTTGAAACGCCCCCGGAATCCGCACAGGCGGAAGCCAACAATGAACAATGAACAGGTCCTGGGGCTCTGGATCCAGCTGTGGTCATTGCACTTGGCACAATTTCTTCCTTTTTCTCCCGTTTACTCTTCTTTTAATTGAAAATTAGAACGAAGTTTTTGCTGTCCCAGACAGGATTTGCATTGGACCATTTTACCCCCAGCCGCTTTGTTTATTAAACTTCAATTAGGCAAGTTTTTTCCAATTAAAATTTACCCGCTGCAATTTTAAGGGTTCTTCGCTGGCCGGGCCAACTTTTCGAGTGGTTGGTTTAATTGGTTTTTTTAGCCCCTTTCATAGGGTTGCATTGTGCCCATATCAATCTCAGTCAACTGAGGGGAGCCGAGCGGAGACATTGATAAATGCAAAGGGGATGCGTACCGAGAAACCCGTCGGAAGTCGCATTGCCATTTAGAAATAAATGTAATTGAAGGAATAGCATACCTTCCATTAGATAATGGGGGTTAATCTTCTGTGCACAAAGTGATGTTAGTTTATCAGAATTTATTTATGAAAATATTTTGGGATCACTTTAAAATTTCTTAACAATTATTCCACAGTTTTTCCTTTTTATAAATATTATTGTAATCACTTTTCTATATTTTTAATTTACTGAAAAAGTTTTTCCCTGTGATCTGTTGCGTGTTTTTGCTTTTGATTTTTAACTACTAAATTAGCTGGAAAATATCAATTATTTTTTAAGAGAACTGCATAACTAGTTTATTTTAAACTGCTGTCTTTTATAATTTTTGATTTGTATTTCTGTTAAATTAAAAATTCTAGGAGAAGCTAGACCAATCCACAGACATTTCCGGATCATCAAATACTAAATATCATGAATTCTTTCCGTTTATAAAGATTTGTCTTTTCATCATAACCGAAAAATAATGAAAAGAATATCCTTGAAGAGTCGTCCTAAAAACTAAATGTTTATGCAGGTCGGGAAGTGCAGTGCCGTTTAGATAAACCCCCTAATCACAGGAATGTCGCACCTGCTCCGCGAGGGTGGGAAGGGGTAAGGGGTAACTGGAATCGGGGGATATAAATATAAATATAAACAACTACCCCGTGCCGCTCTAATACCAAGGCCCGAACTCCGCCGCCTGTGTGCGTGTGTATCTGTGTGTGCGGGGTATTTCACTTATTTACACTTCACTTCGGCTGCTGATTCTGATTCTGCTGCCGCTGCTCACTTGTTCGCGCGCCCGTTTTCAAAGTTTTTCCCCAGCTTTTCCTTGTTTATTATTTTTTTTTCTGTTTTGTTATTTTTTTCGGATGCCAGGTGCGTTTTTCCGCTGCGAGCACCAGACGCTTTCAACTACGACGAGGAACTGAACTGAGCGGCGGAGCAGCTCGGAAAAGCCGAAAGCTTTCGGCCCAGAAACATTGTGGAAATGGCACACGGAAGGAGAGAGAGCGAGAGAGCAAGTGAGGAAAGGAGCACAAGCTCACGGCGCTGTTGCTGCTTTGTTTTCCTCGATTAAACGCGGCCAAAAACGGGGGGTGGGCCGAAACACTTGTGGCTCAAAGTTTAGCAACATGCCAGAATGTTGCGCTGGCTATTAATCGTGCGAAAGATGAGTGCACTTTCCCATTCCCACAAACCAAATACCGGCACTTTTCGGCCAATTAATATCGACCGAGCCGAGTGTAAACACTTTTTGGCCTTTGGCCATCTGCTTCTGGCCAAAACTGGCGGCCGATAAGATAAACAACACCCACGTGGAGGCGAGTTGCTACCCCATGTTGCCATTGCCGTTGCCACAAAGCCGAATAGGGTTTGTTTACTCCGAATCGGAGTCCGATTCCTATTCCATTTCAGTTTCGCATTGAGATTCGGTTGCTCGCTTTTTCGGATTCTCGGTTCCCAGGCAGAATCCGGAGGAGCCGTCGAATGCGGTGAGCTTTTGGAGCCTGCGGCCCTAGTTCCACTTCCACTTCGTTTCTCGAAGGGGCCAAAATCCCCCACTTCACCCCGCCTCCCCTGACATTATTTCGAGCCTCTTTGGCGCCCGACGAGGTGACAATTCCATTTAAGAATTGCGGGCATAGCTTTGTTATTGCTCATGACCATTCTAGCCAACCATTCCGGCCAGCAATGGAAATAGTTATTGCTTCTTTACTGCCTCAGACTATTTAGTGTTGTGCGATTAGTTTCTACTTATTTGATAGTTGATTCTTCTCCAAATGTAATATATTTTAATTTAAGTAATATAAGCATTTAAGATGAGAATAGTTGGAATCCCCAGAATATTATGTTTTAACGGAAGCTAAATATTTGGAAGCCTATTGAAAAGAAATCATAAAAAAATCATTGTCTCTCATTATGACCAAAAAATGTAATATATTTAAGAGTTATAAATTTATTGAGCTTCCCATAAAATTAACCGTGTTTTCCTAGCCTTGATTAGAGCACTTACCAAACTTGCCCATCCCCAACTTAGGCCCCTTGGATTTATGAGCCCTCAACGGATACACTCCATTAAATGATACCCACGACGAACTTCAACTGTAATTAAATAGTTAAAGTAATGAATGGCCGTTTTCGAGAGTTTACATAGCCATTTACATAAAGGTCTTTATTATCGAGGCTGCTAGGCAGAAGCTGCGCCGTCGGAGGGCAACAAACTTTTGTTTTTGGCAGGACTCTAAGGAATGAAGTTCGTTTGGTGTTTCAGGTGTCGGGTGTCTGTCCGTCTGCAGCGAATTAAGTGCGATTAGTTAGCCAACGGGTTGTCAGGGCCCCAGGGAATTAGCATAGGCGGGGTGGTCCGCCCCTGGGGTCCGTTGAAAAGGCTGCTCTCTTCTCTCCCTGGGCCAAATCAATTTCTATAGTTAATAAGCCGACCCCCTGCCGTGGATCAAGCTGCGTGCTCTTTTCCCATTTTCCAGCAGCACTACCATCCATTGTTTGTAATTAAACGGATGTGTCCTGGAGGTCCTGCGGCGCATTGTCTCGCCTCCTGCGACTCACTACCCCCTCCTCCCCTTGGGCTAATGCACTGGCTGCCCGCTGATGTTGCATAAATTAATTGATTTGTCAAGTGCACGCCGGGCACGCCTTAATTAGCATTTTCTGCTTCTGGTGGCCCACGTTGCGTATACGCAATTAATACATATTTGCCACGTTAATTAGTGGACATGTAGGCATTAGATAATGGGCCACACGTGGCCCGGTTCCTTTTTGAGGATTTATGGCAAAAGGGTCCGAGGCTGCTGGCGAGGGCGAAGGCAACTTCACCTGGTTAACGACCCATAAATCTAAACACTCTCGCCACGGCACATAAATTGCCCCAATTCGGCGCAATAAAATAAAATGTCCAGATAATGCATCCGCAAAAAGGGAAAAATCAATTTTTGGCCAAGTTCTAAAATTATATTTCATCCTTCGGTTGTGCAAACCTGAAACCTGTGCCCCCGCATTGTGGAGGTTGGCAAACATTTATTTTAGTTCAGCCGCAGCACATTTTGGCCCAAAGTGCAAACTGGTTAACTGACTGCCAGCAGCTGCTGTCAAACTTCCAACGAAATTCTAATTCTGCGGTTGCCAATTGAAATGCTTTTCGCATTGAATTGTTTGGAAAGTGCTAATGGGATTAAGCAGATCCTAAATGGAAGAGCGGATGATGATGATGTGCTCTTTTGTTGGATATCAGTTGAAGCGGTAGAGATATTGTGATTAAATGAAAATAACTCTATAATATTAAAGCTTATTTAGTGGCATTAAAAGGGGGAAAATAATGCTTTTTTTTTCAGCGGTAGGTTGGAATATGAAATTTCCAGTTAAGCTACTTATAAGTTGTATTTCGCTTTCGTTACATTTCAAATAGAGCTTCCCTGGCATCCCAGCAATGCAAATTTAATAGCTTTACATTTTATTTTCATTTATTTTTGCTATTATGACGTGATGCCAGAGAAATTGCTCTGAAATCTCATCGTTGAAAAATTCCTAATTTATTGAATGAAATGCAATAATTATTTTTACAAAATAAATAAATGAATTGCTGATTAATGCCCTTATTTATTTGTAATTTTAAAATACAAATTCAACTTTCCGCTGAAAGTACAAAAATGCGCAGTAAGGGAAGGTAGGAAAAAATACAAATTTCGACCGCAACTGTTGATATAATTTTTTTGTGGTATGCCCATCTGTCTGTACGGCCATAAAACAGTGATACAGCATCTCCGCCTGTCACTTTCATGATGCATTGAATGGCCAAAAGGCTTAGGAAATACGATGGGGAGGGGGCTCTGAAACATGGATTGCGGCCGCCTACCACCTGTTTGGCTTAAAGCGCTAATCCATCAATGGCAACAAGGCAGAAAGTGCCAACAGCAGCTTCGAGCTTCGAGTGCTTCAGCCCAAAGCAAACACGCAGCGCAAAAAATAAACCCAATAAAATTCCCAATGCTCTTGTTTAGAACAACAACAAAGAGCGACCGGCTCCATTAAAATACATATTCGAAAAGCCCTAAAAATCCATTCATTCAGGTGGGTCGTAAAAGCGCGAATGGCCGGAATATGCCACCCACTCAACCACCGACCTGCTACCCACCCACCCACACGACCAAGGGAAATGGCCCTCCATCATTCATCCATTGGGGATGTAGATTTTGCCGCACTCTGTAATATCCTGCAATCGAAGTTGCTTTTTCTTTTGCTCCACCACCACACCATTCTGCTCCCCTATGTGTTCCGTTTTATTTATGCTCGTGTTTTTACAGTTCAATAAAGTTCAATAAATTCAGCGACTTGCTAGTGGATTTCCCTGATAAACGCAGACGGATCAAACAAATTAAAGTCCTAAGCCCGCCAGGCATCTCGTCGCATCCGAGAGAGATGCAAAAGCAGATGCTATCAACTAGCTTAGCAGTTCTGAGTCCTGAATCCTGGAGCCGTCGGTGTCAGCGGGCAGAAGGTCAAAAGACCGTGTCGACTGGCATTGATGGACGAGGGGATCGGGACTGGAAACATACTGTATGCCAAGGTCATCGAAGCCGACATGTAATCGCTTTCCTGTCGCTTGATAATGCTGAACGACGGCTCGCCGAACTCAAACCTCGTTTAAAGACCGTAAAACGGGACTAGTAAATAAGTAGTAAACTACACTCATAAAAATAATTTTCTACATTTTAGAAAATCGCCCTAAAAAAATTTTCGCCGTTGAACTGAGAAAAATTTTCTATTTTCATGGCAAATTTGCCATAAACTCAAGGCTGGTAACCATAAAAAATATTTTTAGGGTTAATTTTTCTATTTTTCTAATATTTAGGCGATTTTTTCGAATTGCTTCGTTTTGACCTTTTCTAAATCCAACGGCGAATTGCCCTAATTTTTTTCTAAAATTTGTCTAAATACAAGGGCGATTCGCCTTAAAAATCACTCAAAGTGTGAAATTCGGTAGCCCAGCGGTCTAATTACTTGCGCTTTCAACTTTGCTATATGAGGACTAAGGTCGTGGGGTTGTGGGTTCGAACCCTGTGTGATTCAACTTGATTTTTATTTTTTTTTTTTTTGTAAACGTTATAATACTAAGGACATTTTTTCGTCCGAATTTTAAATTAAAGTAGTCTTTAAACCTTAAAACGTATGGGAGTTCTGAGTTAAAAGCATCTTTGTGTTTGCTGGCAAGAAAACGGGACTAATTGTCACAATCGTCAGAAAAATATACGGTTTGTTGCCTTTAGTCAAAATATAACGAAGACCTCAAGAAAATAATATAAGATGTCTGCGAGTTTGTTCTTGTCTTGCGCGATGGGTCTGTGGTGCAGCGGTAGGACGCTAGACTCTAAACCGGAGGTCGTGGGTTCGATTCTCGCAACGACCAAAAAAGTAGTTGTTTTTCTCCTCATATTTATTTCCTAATTCGTTTACAAACATGATTTTTCAGTTCTAACGGCTGTGTTGAATAGATCGGGCCCCCTCTTAACGCAGCTTCCATATAAGCTCACACCAATACAATAATATGAACGGTGTCCTCCGCCGGTGTTGTTTAATTAAAGCAGCAGTCCCAGAATATAGACGATTAAAAAAAAACATGCTTCCCAAATTCGTTGCATGCTCAAACACGATTTTTTAATTTGTCTAATTTTGGCATTTGCCTATAAAATCAGAAATTCGCCCTTAATTTTAGAAAATACACCTTAAAATTAGGGCAAATCACCCTAAAACAGGAAATATTTTTATTTCAGAAAATTCACCCTAATTAAACCAAATTTCCATCGATTTTTAGAAAATTTTTCAAATACACGGGCGAATCGCCAGCGGATACGATTTATGGCGATTTTCAAATCCACGGGCGAAAAGTCAGTTTTTAGGGCGATTTAGGTAAAATTTCTATGAGTGTAGTAAGTAAGTAAATCCTTTGTGATTTGGCGCACTTTAATTAAAAGAAACTATACAATTTTGCGGTAATTTACAGTTTCACAAATATTTTTTCTTAATTTTATTTAAAGGTAAATTTTAATAAAATAAACTATTAATTATTAATTGGAGTTAATTGTTCGGTTTTAAGACTTGGTATTTCTTAAGAGACTTGTAGAAATTTCTTCGTAACGACTTGGTTTGACTTATTAGTTAATGAGTTCTCATCCAACTTATCGATTGTCAGCTGTCAACTTACGAGTTTCACACTGCGCTAAGCGAATTTCTTAGTTGGTTCAGGTTTAACTCATGGCTCATTCAGTTTATTCGTTTCTCTGCATTAAAGTAGTAATGCAATATGGAGAATCCATCTACACTTACAGTAATATCATTATTATTTATTATTATTTTAAGTAGAGGTACGTTTGTGAACCCGCAATTGGGATTCCTTAACAAACTTCTAGAAAAAATAAGTCAAGAGGATGAAGTTGTGACGATTTTTCTGCTGAACCATCATGAGTCCAGAGGCTGTGCTCTTCATAGCTGGCATCATAGGGAGATTCCCACTTTGCGATTCAATGAACTGGCCATAGCAAGTGTAAGAAATCACTTCAATCATCATTCGTTAAGTGTAGTCTGCATATGTAAGGATTCCGACACTTTTCTTCTCGATACTCTGGCCAAAGATATTGATAGAATGCGACAAGAACGAATTATTTTGTGGATACAAACGAAAGTCACCAAGGAACTTCTTCATATAGTTTCCAACCAATGCGAGGAGCACAGATTTCTGCGACTCCTCATCGTGGAGGCGATAGAAAAACTGGAGCGAGAAGTAATTGCATTCCGGCTACATTTTTATCCAAGCCCACACTTTCAACGAATTGCAAACATATGTGATTTAGAAGGTCCTATTTTTCCGTCTCAAAGGAACAACTTCAAGGGAAGAACGGCCACTCTAGAGCCTGCTTGGAGTAGAGGCATAAAAACCTACAAAAGGTTGTCCCCCAAGGCTAGAATCTCAATAGACCGAGCCCAAGACAATATAGTCCTGGATTTCGCCAATACGTATAACTTGAGTCTCAAAGTGATAGAGCCTCCGAATAGGGCAAACCTGAGTTCTTCAAGGATGGCCGACTTTCAATTCAACTCGCTGTTCATGGGAAATGTATACATAAAGCATATTAATCCCTACGATATATCAACCATAGCAGTTGTCGTTCCCTGTGGAAGAGAGATGCGAATAGAAGAAGTGTTTAAGCATCTGGATATGAAGTCTTGGCTTCTTCACATTCTTCTAGTCTACGGAATCTTTGTGCTGGCGGAAACCTTTATACTCGTGATTACCCATAAGATATCAGGCGAAGCCTACAGATTAACCAGTCTAAGTCCTGTGCTGAACCTCCGTGCATTCCGAGCACTTCTAGGCATGTCCTTTCCCATGAGCCGCAGATCAAGCCTTTCGCTGCGACAGCTTTTCCTGGTCATAACTGTGTTCGGGTTTGTTTTTAGCAATTTCTTCAGCTGCAAGCTGAGTGCCCTGCTCACGAAACCTTCCCGGCATTCCCAGATCAGAAACTTCGAGGAGTTACAGTCAAGTGAATTGACCGTCCTAGTCGACTTGCACATGCGGATCCTCCTAGAAAGTAGACTTGAAGCTGATTTTTTAACGCGTAACATAACAAGGGTTAAATTTGTGACACAGCTAGAAAACAATAAACTTCAGCTCTCCCTGGACAGCACTTACGCACACGTCTTGCCATCGGAAAAGTGGCACACATTAAGGAACTATCAAAAATTTTATGACAAAAAGGTTTTTTGTTCCTCGAAGGACCTGACCATCATCCAAAGTATTCCCAGGTCATACACCCAGCAAAACAACTCCATATTTTACTGGCCATTTTTCTTGTTTTCCCTAAGAATGGAAGAGGCGGGCATCGTTGGGCATTGGACTCAACGAGCTCCCTTCGAATTAAGATCTCTGCTAAATGTAACCATTGTGGATAATTTCGAGCAAAGGATAAAACCCTTATCCGTCGATCACTTGAAGTGGCTGTGGACTATCTTGGGATGTGGGCATGCTATCGCCATTTTCGTCTTTATCATCGAATTGTTTATGGGAGGCCATCTTCGTTGGATCTGGAATCTGCGACTTAGAAACCGTATTATTTTGGTCTAAAAATTGTCACTTATACCTATAATCAATGTTCAATTTACTATTTTACCAATTTGTAATAACCTTATACATGAACCAAATATTTGTCAAGCTTAAAAGTTCGTAAATTAATCATTATCAAATGCAGCATACTTTAAAAGCTCACATTAAATCTCTGTATCGAAATAGTTTATCTAAAAGATAATTTATTAATAAAATCATTATAGCTAAATACTGTAAAAGGAATCTACAGAGAGTTCATTATTTATTTATACACTATTCACCATTCACAAATCAATAATTGTTGCGTGAGATGTTGATGTGCCAAATACCGTTTAAGGCAGGAACATAATTTAGATCCCGAGTGTTTGGATGGCTGAACTCAACCAAAGCGGCACTTGATTTGCAGGGACAGCTCAAGGACCTCTCATTCCACCAACTTCTTTGGGCTGCATGGTAACCATTGTCACTGACAGTCATCGATTTAGATTTTCTTTTTTTTGCCAGGGGGCTGCCCTTCATTTGACACTGCCTTTCTCGCTTCATATCTATATCTGAATAATAGGATGTCACTTTTAATTTGGGCGTCGATTTATATGCCTAGTCCCTGGACTAACCTCAGTCCCAGAGAAAAATCTGCTGTTCGAAGTTCCAATAAAAACAGAATGACAAAGCGAAAGAGGAGAGGGACAAAGGCCGCAGGATCCCAGGCATTTGGACATCTTCATTGTGCTTATCAGATTCGGAGAAGTACATACACACACACTTGGCTCCTTAGCTTTTCAGTAAGGATACTATAGAGATACTCCCACTCGTTCATTGTTTGTTTTAGAGGGACAATTAGCCGCGTAGTCCCCACAATTTAATTGTTATAAATGCCAAGGCTGAATGCGAATTAAGTAATATTTATGGAAGGCAGTGAAAGGATATCAGGATAGCAGGAAACTCTTCCCACGCGTCGAGGGATCATTAATAACAGTGGATTTTGCACTCGAACAGCTGACTCAGTGGCACCGCGTGGGTGTTAGACTCACTAGTCTTTGGTCTCCCCATGCGAGTCCCCCAGCTATCCTATTACCATTAATCTCATGCACAGAGCAGCATCTGCCAGATAGTCCTGGTTGTGATTTCAATTAAGCACCCAGAACGGGGCGCAAAAACCAAGTTATGAAGATAAATGTCACTCGTCAAGTGGCAATCAATTAGTTAATGCTTTCAGGGCCCACGGGACATAGTTTCTCGCCAAGTCCCCCGGTTTCCAAAGTCCCCGAGTCACCCCGAAAAACTTCTGAGGCTCTGTGTGCCTGAGTTCGTGTTTGTCGCAGAAATTATTCAATTACCAAATTAAATTTAATGCCTTGTACTCGATGGCGGGCGAAGGACGCCAGCCAGCTTGCTTTTGATCCCACTAAAAGCTTTAATAACTGTAAATTGCTTTCACAAATTTGTCTTCGAACGGGAAAAACCAGAAAAGCTGGAAAAAGGGGGTGGCGGGTGGAAAACGAGGCTAGGACCAGCCCGCATACCTGGGCAAACATTTTTCTCATTTCGGTGTGTCGCTTCCCTCGCCCGTGACCAAATATTTAAAGGCATTCGACGTGAGCCGCACTCTGAGTTCAGGGTTCGAGTTCGATGGCAGAGGCCAAAGCGAACCATTATCGACGTTTCTGTCCCCCTGCATTCCCTACACATTAATGTCTCTATCTACCCTGCGCCGAGCATCAGAAATCCAATTATATTCAGTTTACGTACAAAAAGCTCCTGCAGCCGGGAAAAGTGAATCCCTGAATGGGGAACCCTCTGGCCTGAACCTGAACCATTAACTAATTCCGAAATCCTCTTAAAAATTTAATTTTGTTCACCTTGTAAAAGGGCTGCCGGAGGGAACGCTGAATCCGCTTATTTAGTCACCAGTTCGGTGCGTGTTGGCCTAAAAAAGTGTTTTCTATTGAGATGTTAATTCGGGCGGAGCTTTAAAGGCAATATTTTTGAATTTATCTTTAATACTCAGATATTTTTGCCGGCTTAAATAATAAGGTATTATCGACACTGACTACTAGGATTTAATTGATAGTTCCGTTAAAAATACTATAAAGTTTTTTTGGACACAATGTTGGATACGTTAATAGATGATGATAGTTAATAGATTTGAAATATTTGCTGGTCAGTAATCCGTTGTTGTTGAGTTAAAAAACGATCGAAATCGTAATTTTATAGGTTTCCGAGGAGTTTTTTCAATATAAATTTTATTTTATGTTATTTTTACATTAAATTTAATAAGTGATCGTCTGAGAGCTTTTCAAAACTTTTTAAAAAGCATACGATCCGATTTTATTGCTCTTTTTTGATAATTAAACAACTCTAAGAGCTTTGTGAAAGCTCCGATAACGTCAACAATCAACATGCTTCCATTTATTTCTCTTAAACTATATAGTTGCTTTTTTACCTTCAGCTGAGCAGGTTGCGTTTTAGTTTAGAGAGAAAAGTACGCAAAGAATACTAATATTTGTGTTTATTTTTCGGTTCGTTTGTCACACAAATTAGTGATTAACCAATCTATTCTAGTTGCTTGGATAATGTCGGCCAAACCCATTCTGTACTACGCCCCCCGCAGCCCCCCATGTCGTGCTGTTCTGTTGACGGCCGCTGCTTTGGGTCTGGAGTTGGATTTACGGTAAGTTGACCACTCCACTGGATTCCCAGGTTAACCGATCAATATTATACAATTTATTTAGGGGAGGTTTTGAAATTAGGTTTTATTAAAAAGTGTGTGTTATGGTTAGGAAAATTAGGTATCTCAGATTGGACTATCGGTGAGCTTTCTCGTTTTGCCGGTTTCTCTGGTAAACCGGTCTCTCCCGCGACAGCACTCTTCTTTAACCCTCCGTTTGACCTGTGGGTCTAGATAGCCCCGAACAAACAAATGTAATTGTTATAAGATTGTACATGATTAGATAATATTATTATTTAGGGTGTTCAATTGCGTTGCAAACTTTGTGAAGTGTAAAAGTGTAAATCAATTCCAACAACAATTTCTATACACTTTACACTTTACAACGTTTGCAACGCAATTGAACACCCTACCCAGCGGCGAACAAGTGAATGGGGTCTGGAGAAAAAATGCATTACAAGTGTAGACATTGTAATCGATTACGATCGCTGTTTTTCGACAGTGAAGTTGTAATCAGAGCTCCTATGACTTCGTATTTTTGTTCGTTAACGATTTCCTTTTATCAAAAATTACAAACACACCTAAAAATTATTGCCTATGTGTTCGTTTTTCGTTTCCCCTCCGTCACGTTTGAGCTTCGGAACTTTAATAAGAACAGCATGCATTCTAAGTATACTTTAACTAACTAATAAAAGCACAGACTATGGCCGAGCGGTTAGCCTTTCCATCCATTATACAATAATACCCGTGTTCGATTCCCACATGAGGAAAGAATATTTTTTGTTTTCATAAATGAACAGCATTACAACTCAGCATACGTTTTTTCAAAATGTATGTTGAATTTTCTCTAGTCTGTCTACACTTTGCATTACAATTTTGGGAAAGTATAGTGAATTCGTAATGAAGACCCGAAGGTGACTCGGCCCTAGCATACTTTTCCCATTACTCGTAATACAAATAATACAAGGCGGCCATGCCTATGGCAAAGTAATCCATGTTGTAATACATTGTTTCCCTATTACTGGAGGAGAAGTAATGCATTCGTAATCCATTTTGTAATGGCAATTTTCGCCGCTGGGTAATTGATTTTGCTCTAGTGGGAATAAATATTATGAGACTAGAGATAACCTAAAACTAAGGGTTAATCCACTCTTTTGACTCGGTTCTCTTTTCTCGTTCTTTAACAATCTCTCTCACTTTCTCTTTCCAGTACTGTCAACGTAAAAGCCGGAGAGCACAAGTCCGCCGAGTTTCTCAAGCTGAATGCGCAGCATACGATCCCCGTGCTCGATGATAATGGCACTATCGTGAGCGATTCGCACATTATCTGCAGCTATTTGGCGGATAAGTATGCCCCGGAGGGCAATGACTCCCTGTATCCACGGGATCCGGAGAAGAGGCGGCTGGTGGATGCCCGTTTGTACTACGATTGCGGTCATCTGTTCCCGCGCATCCGATTCATCGTGGAGCCAGTGATTTACTTCGGAGTCGGTGAGGTGCCCGCCGACCGAGTGGCGTATCTTCAGAAGGCCTACGATGGCTTGGAGCACTGCCTGGCTGGAGGAGATTACCTAACGGGAGACAAACTGACCATCGCGGATCTTAGCTGCATCGCCTCGGTTTCCACGGCGGAGGCCTTTGCGCCCATTGAGGCGGACCAGTTCCCCCGTCTGGTGGAGTGGGTCAAGCGTCTGCAGGCCCTCCCCTACTACAAGCAGAACAACCAAGAGGGTCTGGACATGTTGGTGGGCCTGGTTAAGGGACTGGTGACTGAGCGCCAGCAGAAGTAATTTCAGCCAGCTAAAGAATTTGTGTGTGAAATTTTTTTTATAATGCATTTTGTGAACTAAAATAATGCTCTTTTTAATAAAACTTGATTTGGAAATAAACCTCAATTGGAGTTATTTGCTATCGGCACTAGTTTTTTTACTAAGCAGTAGAAAACAATTAAAACACATGACCTATTGTTAAGCAAAGCATTTATTTCGCCTCTCATAGGGCAATAAAGTATACGGGTACATTGGTTCTCTAAAGTTTTTCCAGGTCTAACCAAATGCCGCCTCGCAAAGTAATAAAGAATTGAACAGGGTCGAACTGATTGTCCTGGCGGGTTTTGGAATTAATCTTGACTTTGAATTTTGAGATCAGTTCCACAATAGCTGCCTTTATCTGCGTTGTTGCAAATCGCATTCCTAAAAAAAGAAAAAACATTAATATCACTATTTAGTAATTATTTTAGTACCAAAGTATGTACTTACCAATGCAAACGCGCGGACCATCTCCGAATCCCATGTAGACACCCCGTTCCCTGAATGTTTTGGCCGCATCGGGCTCCATGAAACGTTCGGGCTGGAAGGACTGAGGATCGGGAAAGAAGTCTTCATCCACCATAAAGGAATAGTGAGGTATCACAACAGTGGTGCCCTTCTCCACCACGAAATTGGGGCCATCCTTGTTGGGAATCTCGATGGATTCGGTGCAGATTTTATTGGACGTGAATCCGGGAGGGAAGAGGCGGATGGTTTCTGCGAATCACAAAGTTAGCAACCTAAAATTCAGCCAAAAATGTACTTTAGCTTACCCTGCAGACAAGCATCCAAATAGGGCAAGTCGTTAAGTTTGTCAAAGTTTATGAGGCCATTCTCGAGATGGGCGTTGATCTCCTGACGCAGAAGCTCCTGTGCCCGACCATTACGTCCCAGGTTGAGGAGCATATGAGCCAAAACCGTGGACGTCGTTTCGAATCCGTCCAGCAGGAAGGTCATGGAGTAGGCGAGTAAGTGGCGATTGTCCAGCTTGCGCTTCTCGCCGAGCTGCAGGATGTAGTCCAGGAAGTCGGACCGCTCGAACTGTTTTTCACCCGTCAGCTGGGCGCGACGAGCCGCCAATGCACTGCCCATCAGGTCGACGAAGAAGCGTTCCACTTTGCGCGGTATGAAACGCATCTTAATCAAATGGCTCAGCGATGGAAAGATAGTAGACAGCAAGAAGAAAAGGACGAAGGTCCACGGCTGGTTGAACAGGTCCTTGATATGCGACACAATGGGAGTGGGCTTGTCCGAAAAGCTTTCGGCGCTCAGGCCCAAAACGCAATCGGTGACCACTTCGGTTGTAAAGCAGAGACTCATCTGTTAATGGCGAGATAAAGCAAAATGTAATTAATTTTATTTTTATGGAAACTTCTAATCTTACATGCTTGGCATTGATACCATCAGGAGAACCTAGACGTATTTGCTTTTCCGTCCACTCGCTCAGCTTCTGGCACACCTTGTGCGTCACCGGATAGACTGTCTTGATCTATAAATGCAATTCATACATCGATATATTTACCATATGCATGCCTATGGATGCACTGCCTCACCCGTCCCATTGTTAAGCCAGGGGTCACGTCCGATCTCCTGCTCTTCCACTTTTCGCCGGTTGAGGTGAACGGATTGTTGGCAAAAATAAAATCGCTTTTTTCATCAACGCTTTTGGAAATCTCATTGTCGTGGAAGTTTCTGAAGTTGGACACCAATACTCGACGTGCCAACTGGGGATTTACAACCAACAGCTGCGGAGTGCGGGAGCCAAAAATGCCCACAGCATCGTACTTGTCCTTATACTGCCTAAAAATAAGCAATCGGTTCACAGTCAGCCAAATTAGAAAAAAACTTGTAATATAAGCGATAAGAAACAAATCTATCTACCAATCATATGGAGTATAATAAATAATAAATAGAATTACGATCCGAATTAGTTTATCACATTATTACAAAATTACAAAAAGAAGATAACCTATTTTCTTATCGACATTTCCATGGGATGATCCTATCCATTTTGTGGATTGTTGAATTTGCTGTTGTGTGTAGTTAAATAATGGGGTACAGAAAAAGTAAGTTATGTTTTGGGGCACTTTGTAAACCGGACTTTTGTATTTTTAGCTGGGAAACTCACCTATAGATGTCGTTCAGATCGTAGATGGCATGACGCTTCAGATTGAACATGTGAGGATAGTTGCCGCACAAAAGCTTCGGCTTGGGTCCCGGCACCCCGCGTTTTCTCCAGTAATCGTAGTTCCATATGAAGACGGCATACAGCAGCCCTGCAGCCAACGACACTAGGGTAAAGGTAACTAGAAGCATTTTTTGATGCCTTTAAATGTGCCTCCACACGCGAAGAACTCAGTTTAACGTCTGTGGCGGAACCAGAAATTTGGCTTTATTTGTACCCGCTCATTGGATTCGATTATCAGACCTCTGATAGTATACCTGAGCAGGCTAATCACACAGCTAAAAAGTAAGCTGGTGAAATTCACCAAAAAAAAGCTTTTATACACTTTGACAAATTTTTAAAATCTTAACTGGTCAAACCGCCAATAATTCTATAATTTCCACATATTGGAAACACCTAGATAAAGAGTTAAAAAAATGAAATTTTACAATTCTTACTCAGTTCCTTTAAACATAAATTAAAAAAACTTTGTTTTATTGAAAGCGTCATAGAGATAGAAAAGCTCCATTTCACAAGCTTATTGTGCTGAATTTCTGATGAATTTCACAAGTTTACTGATTTGTTCAATGTCACACCTCGACGTCTTTGGGTGTGTCTGGGTAGTTTGATAATATTTTAAGACTTACTTCGACCCCATTGACCATTAATTTTTTGTGCCTAACCTAATATAAAACGAAAATTATTTAATTTAAAATGAACCCTTTTTTATATCTTTACAGAGGTTATTATAATTTCAGGCGAAAGCTTTAAACGGAGAAAATTAATTCCAGCAATTGGAAATGTCTATGAAGCCAAGAAGCATCTTATTTTGCTGAAGCGGGCCGAATGAGAAAATTTTAGAAAGTGTATAATCATTTTTGGTCACAAAATTAGAATTCAAAACTTGAATTTCAAAGGTACGATCGTCGCATATTACCTCGCTAAAAGTTGTTTTGTGCTGCTGGTTTTTGATCCAACAAATAAAATTAGGGTGTTTTTTAATAGGTTTTTCTTTTTTGAGAGTTTCAGTACTGTAATTAAATCCTAGTCCCGAATCAAGAAAAATTTTTTCGCCACTAAATCCGTTTCAAACAATCAATCAATACGGGATGTAATAAAAACATGAGTTTCATTAGACAGCAGCCGAGAACAATGAATCAAGGCCGAACAGCAAACAATAATAGAAGATGCGATACTGTGGGTGGTGTTTTGGGTGTTGGGTCCTGCAGCAAGAGGAAACGGGAATAGAAATAGAATCTGAATCGGAGACAGGGACTGCGAAAGCGACAGCGACAACGACAGTTATGTGCAGCTGGTCAAAAAGTAATGGCAAAACTTTTTTATGGGGAAAAGCCGGCAGCAAAGGCAGCGACCAGTAACCTGAACTTGCTCATGGACTGTGTGTGAAATTGAAGCCACAAAGTTTTTCCTTGGATTGTCCGCCTCCTGGCCATTGTTGTTGTTTGTTTGACTTGTTGGTGTTTGGCTGTTCCCGTTATTGATTACAAGCTGTAAGTGATCGCATTTATAGTTGTTAAAGCTTCTTTGGCTCCGGCTTGTGGTCGCAAACTCTTGACGTTGGCTCGGCTTTGGCCACTTAAACGGAAATAACTCAAGAGACCGCACCGGTAAAGTGCGACACGGGTTTTCTTTCCAGCAAACTTTATATCAACTTGGTTAAGTTCTTTGAAGGGGAAGTAATTTAAACTGTGTATCCGTGAAATTACATAAACTATCCCAATTTTCTGTGTCTAGTTTAAAAGCTATCGACTTAATCAGAAATGTGGTATTCAAGGAGTAAGAAAATATTTCTTTACTAACCTTAACGTTTCCTTATTTTCTCAGGTGAAAACTCATACGGGGCCCAGAAAGAGGGTCCTAATGACTTTGTGCTGTCACCCACCACCTGAGTGAAAATTGATTTGCGGTGAATCTTTGAAAACTCTATTTCGAAACTCCTTCATTCTTGAGCTCCGGCTGGGTTGTGTAAAATCAAATCCTTAGACAATAGTCGACGATATCAGTACCTGGTATAAGGTACTCTGACCAGTCGACTTGTTAAAGGGGAGTAACAGGAAGACAATAATTATATAATAGTTAATTTTATGAAAAGCATCTGGTTTGCCTACCAAAAATTGTAACAAAAGAGTATTGCGTGAAACATTCAATCCTTTTAAGGTGATTTCGTTAAAATAATATACTCATGTGAGGAAATATTAATTGTTCAATTTGAATACGAGAAATGTGAGCAGCAAAATATTAGGAAAAACAATAAAAATGTAGCAGCATACGATCCCCGTGCTCGATGATAATGGCACTATCGTGAGCGATTCGCACATTATCTGCAGCTATTTGGCGGATAAGTATGCCCCGGAGGGCAATGACTCCCTGTATCCACGGGATCCGGAGAAGAGGCGGCTGGTGGATGCCCGTTTGTACTACGACTGCGGTCATCTGTTCCCGCGCATCCGATTCATCGTGGAGCCAGTGATTTACTTCGGAGTCGGTGAGGTGCCCGCCGACCGAGTGGCGTATCTTCAGAAGGCCTACGATGGCTTGGAGCACTGCCTGGCTGGAGGAGATTACCTAACGGGCGACAAACTGACCATCGCGGATCTTAGCTGCATCGCCTCGGTTTCCACGGCTGAGGCCTTTGCGCCCATTGAGGCGGACCAGTTCCCCCGTCTGGTGGGGTGGGTCAAGCGTCTGCAGGCCCTCCCCTACTACAAGGAGAACAACCAAGAGGGTCTGGACATGTTGGTGGGCCTGGTAAAGGGACTGGTGACCGAGCGCCAGCAGAAGTAATTTCAGCCAGCTAAAGAATTTTGTGTTATCTTTTTCATTATTAAAATGCATTTTGTAAACTAAAATAATACTTTTCTCAATAAAACTTGATTTGGATATAAAGCTTCGACGGGATCTCAATTTGAAGTATTTGCAATCGTCACTAGTTATTTTACTCAGCTGTAGTAAATAACATAAACACATGAGCTATTTTTAAGCAAATTATTTATTTCGCCTCCCTTGGGCAATGAAGTATAAAGTTCTTTAAATTTTTTCCAGGTCTAACCAAATGCCGCCTCGCAAAGTAATAAAGAATTGAACAGGGTCGAACTGATTGTCCTGGCGGGTTTTGGAATTGATCTTGACTTTGAACTTTGAGATCAGTTCCACAATAGCTGCCTTTATTTGCGTTGTTGCAAATCGCATTCCTAATAAAGTAAGAAAATTAATATCAAAATTTAGTAATTATTTTAGTACATACCAATGCAAACGCGCGGACCATCTCCGAATCCCATGTAGACACCCCGTTCCCTAAACGTTTTGGCTGCATCGGGTTCCATGAAACGTTCGGGCTGGAAGGACTGAGGATCGGGAAAGAAGTCTTCATCCACCATAAAGGAATAGTGAGGTATCACAACAGTGGTGCCCTTCTCCACCACGAAATTGGGACCATCCTTGTTGGGAATATCGATGGATTCGGTGCAGAGTTTATTGGACGTGAATCCGGGAGGGAAGAGGCGGATGGTTTCTGCGAATCAGGAGGTAGACAAATTTAGAATCTTAAAATGTAGGCCATCATTTTCTTCAGCTTACCCTGCAGACAAGCATCCAAATAGGGCAAGTCGTTAAGCTTCTCAAAGTTTATGAGGCCATTCTCGAGATGGGCATTGATCTCCTGACGCAGAAGCTCCTGTGCCCGACCATTTCGTCCCAGGTTGAGGAGCATATGAGCCAAAACCGTGGACGTCGTTTCGAATCCGTCTAGCAGGAAGGTCATGGAGTAGGCAAGTAATTGGCGATTGTCTAGCTTGCGCTTCTCGCCGAGCTGCAAGACGTAGTCCAGAAAGTCCGACCGCTCGAACTGTTTTTCACCCGTAAGCTGGGCGCGACGGGCCGCCACTGCACTGCCCATCAGGTCGATCAAAAAGCGTTCAACCTTCAGCGGTATGAAGCGAATCTTAATCAAATGGCTCAGCGATGGAAATGTACTGGTCAGGACAAAGAAAAGGACGAAAGTCCACGGCTGGTTAAACAGTTCCTTGATATTCGACACAATGGGAGTGGGTTTGTCGGAAAAGCTCTCGGCGCTCAGGCCCAAAACGCAATCGGTGACCACTTCTGTGGTAAAGCAGAGACTCATCTGTTGATGGCGAGATAAATCAAAATGTCTTTCATTTCATACATTTTATGGAAACTTTTAATCTTACATGCTTGGCATTGATACCATCGGGAGAACCGAGACGTATTTGCTTTTCCGCCCACTCGCTCAGCTTCTGGCACACCTTGTGCGTCACCGGATACACTGTCTTGATCTAGAAATGCAATTGATACGTCGATATAATTACGATACGCATGCCTATGGATGCACTGCCTCACCCTTCCCATTGTTAAGCCAGGGGTCACGTCCGACCGCCTGTTTTTCCACTTTTCGCCAGTTAGGGTGAACGGATTGTTGGCAAAAATGAAGTCGCTTTTTTCATCAACGCCTTTGGACACCTCATTGTCGTGAAAGTTTCTGAAGTTGGACACCAATACTCGACGTGCCAACTCGGGATTGACAACCAACAGCTGCGGAGTGCGGGAGCAAAAAATGCCCACAGCATCGTACTTGTCCTTATTTTGCCTACAAATAATTAGTATAATAAATCAATCAGTTAACAGTCATTTTAAACGATAAAAATTATTCCTATCTTATTAATCATACAGACTGTAACTAATACCATTACAAATTAAAATGGGTTTATCAGAAAATTACCAAAAAAAGAGGTAACCTATTTTCTTATCGACATTTCCATGGGATGATCCTATCGATTTTGTGGAATATTGAATTTGGTGTTGTGTGTAGTTGAATAATGGGGTACAGAAACAGTTAGTTATGTTATAGGGCTCTTTGTAAACCAGACTTTTGTATTTTTAGCTGGGATACTCACCTATAGATGTCATTCAGATCGTAGATGGCATGACGCTTCAGATTGAACATGTGAGGATAGTTGCCGCACAAAAGCTTCGGCTTGGGTCCCGGCACCCCGCGTTTTCTCCAGTAATCGTAGTTCCATATAAAGACGGCATACAGCAGCCCTGCAGCCAACGACACTAGGGTAAAGGTAACTAGAAGCATTTTTGATGCCTTTAAATGTGCCTCCACACGCGAAGAACTCCGTTCGGCGTCTGCTGAAGAACCAGAAATTTGGCTTTATTTGTAGCCGCTCATTGGATTCGATTATCAGACCCCTGATAGTTTACCTGAGCGGGCTAATCACTCTTGCAGCTAAAAAAGTCAGCTGGTGAAATTCACCAAAAAAAAGCTTTTATACACTTTAAAAAATTTAAAAAAAGGTCGTCTGCTCAGATTCCCAAAAATTCTGTAGTTTACACATATTTCAAAAACCTAGATAAAGAGTTGTAAAATAAAAATTTTTCAATTGTTTATTACCTCTATTAAACTTAAATTTAAATAACTTGATTTGATTTAAAGCGCCATACAGAAATAATTACAAAGATAGGAAAGTTGAATCTGAAAAGCTTATTGTGCTAAAAATCTGCTGAATTTCACAAGCTTACTGATTTGTTCAATGTCACACCTCAACGTCTTTGGGTGTGTCTGGGTAGTTTGATAATATTTTTCACTTCCACTACAACTTCAAGAGTAAATTGGTGTTAGACGAAGATGAGGTAATTAATTTTTTGTGCATTTCCTGGTATAAAAAGAAAAATATTCAATTTAAAATTATCCCTTTTTATACCATTGCAGAGTTTATTATACATAAATTCAGACGAAAGCTTTAAACGAAAATTTCTGTGTAGGTAAGAAGCAGACCATATTTTGCTGAAGCAGGCCGAATGAGAAAATTTTAGAAAGTGTATTTCATCATTTTTTTCACATAATTTAAAATCGGAACTCTTGAATTTTAAAGGTACGATCGTAGCATATAACCTCGCTAAGAGTTGTTATATGCAGCTGGTTTTTGATTCAACAAATTTTGAGACTTTCAATACTGTAATCAAATCCTAGTCCCGAATCAAGAACAATTTTTTCCCTAGTAAATCCGTTTCGAACAATCAATCAATACGGGATGTAATAAAAACATGAGTTTCATTAGACAGCAGCCGAGAACAATGAATCAAGGCCGAACAGCAAACAATAATAGGAGATGCGATACTGTGGGTGGTGTTTTGGGTGTTGGGTCCTGCAGCAAGAGGAAACGGGAATAGAAATAGAATCTGAATCGGAGACAGGGACTGCGAAAGCGACAGCGACAACGACAGTTATGTGCAGCTGGTCAAAAAGTAATGGCAAAACTTTTTTATGGGGAAAAGCCGGCAGCAAAGGCAGCGACCAGTAACCTGAACTTGCTCATGGACTGTGTGTGAAATTCAAGCCACAAAGTTTTCCCTTGGATTGGCCGCCTCCTGGCCATTGTTGTTGTTTGTTTGACTTGTTGGTGTTTGGCTGTTCCCGTTATTGATTACAAGCTGTAAGTGATCGCATTTATAGTTGTTAAAGCTTCTTTGGCTCCGGCTTGTGGTCGCAAACTCTTGACGTTGGCTTGGCTTTGGCCACTTAAAGGGAAATAACTCAAGAGACCACACCGGTAAAGTGCGACACGGGTTTTCTTTCCGGCAAACTTTATATCAACTTGGTTAAGTTCTTTGAAGGGGAAGTAACTTAAACTGTGTCCCCGTGAAATTACAAAAACTATACCAATTTTCTGCGTCTAGTTTAAAAGCTATCGACCTAATCAGAAATGTGGTATTCAAGGAGTAAGGAAATATTTCCTTACTAACCTTAGCGTTTCCACATTTTCTCAGGTGAAAACACATACGGGGCTCAGAATGTTATCAAATGATTTAATCGAAGGAGGATCCAAATGGCTTTGTGCTGTTACCCACCACCTGAGTGAAAATTGAAAACTCTATTTCGAAACTACTGCATTCTTGAGCTCCGGCTGCGTATTTAAGATCAAATCCTTAGACAATAGTCTACGATATCAGGTACGATGCAGGCTGCATATTGGAATTGATACCTGGTATTAGGTACTCTGCAGACCAGTCGACTGGTTAAAGGGGAGTAACAGGAAGACAATAAGCCATAATAGATAATTTAATGAAAAGCATCTGGTTTGCCTACCAAAAATTGTAAGAAGAGAGTATTGCGTGAAACATTGAATCCCTTTAAGGTGAACAAAAAAGCAAAATGGAACCTACAGAGTGCACTGCAAAGTGTAGGTGCCTTTTTTGCCCATTTTCACTCGATGCACTCGGATATGGCTGACGACTTTTTGCAAACGTGATGTGACACTCCACTTTGCACTTATGCCCGCCAGTCATTGTCGATCAGAAGTGGTGACATGAGGCGAGCCAGACGTATCCAGTAACCAGTATTCAGTAACCATCTACCGGCAGCCACAGGGAGCCACTCGGATCCGATTAAAGTGAGTAGCTATATTAAAGGCTATTTCACATTTCTTTCATGGTTTAAAAAGGAAATCACACACACCAGGGGTTTTCTCAAAAGTAAACTGAATACATTCACTTTCTATACCACATTTCTGGTAACAGAACACACATAAAACAGGTCTTTGAGTAGGCAAAAGGTTTCAATTGTTACCTGCATTGTCACCAAAAAACAACCTCACATCTAGCCAACAATAAAAAATCCTTGAACCCTTGAATCCTTGAATACTCATATTATAGCGTTAAAAAGGTTTCAATCCTTCAGAGAGAGGGTGACACCCTCTGGATTGGATTTTCTGTAAAATAAGTATAAAACATAGACTGTGAAATTAATAATTTAGTGGTAA